AGGATGGGGGTGTTAAAAAAAAAAAAGAGGGCTAGGAGCTTCTCCTTGTAAAGGAAGTCCAAAGTCTCACTTTCTTCCTGTCTCTAATATTGAATTTTCATTTGTAAGTTTAAAATTACTTTATGTGCAAAATGAACATGTGTGTTAAAGAGGAGAGAAAATATTCCTTATTCAACTTTTAAAGTGTGTGATGGAAATTTGTGTCTTTGGAGCTCCTTTTTTTCTTTCGTTGCATCACTGCATAGATCAACAGGTAATAATGAAGGTTGTGGTGGTTGAGGAAGGTGAGTGGGAGGCAGCAGCCCACTCTTCTGCCTTGTGCAGGGCAGTCCGTGAGATCTCTGCAGAACCCCTGGGCTCCACGGAACCCAGCTTGCAAACCATTGTTCAAGATGATCTCTACATAAAGTGGTAACACTAATACTCTGAAATATTTTAAAGGTCTGGTGAGGAAGGATATTATCCAGAACTTACAGAATTTTGTGAAAAGCGCCTTAGAGAATTGGCTCCCAAAAGCAGAGCTTTGAGGAAAGATAAACCTGCAGCAACAGCATCCAGTTTTACAGCAGAAGAATGGGAAGAAATTGATGGTGATATAAAGGTATAGAATAACACCAGTTTTTGTGACATTGTCATGTTATATATATGTCTACTTTATCTAAAATTCTAGGCATCTTTTTTGTCAGTGAAGGGCTTTTAGTAGTAATTACTTAGGCAGTATTGATTGCTTCTTGCATCTAGGAGAATACTGTGAATGTGTGCGTGTGCAAGCGTGCTCCACACAAGTGTGTATTTTAAATGACCAAATAAATGGTTCCATCCCATGAAGGAACCATTTCAATCAGCTTCTATAAGTAGTGCTATATAAACATGTTTTTGTTTGTTTATAATTTTTTTGTATTACATGGTTATTCCCTTGAAATAAATTATTAGAATTCAAATTACTTGATCAAAAGATTTGAATATTTTTAAGGCTTTTGAAACCTATTTCTATGTTTTCAGAAAAGCTGTACCCTTGTATTCTCTCACTAGTCATGTATAAAAATGCCCATTTTCAGGTACTCTTTACTGCATACTGTAATTATTTTTACATTTATTAAGACTTAAATAGTTGAAAAAATGATAGTGGTTTTTCTTTTTACTAGTAAAGCTAAATTTTTTTCATTTATTTGTCACTTGAATTTTTTATTTTGGTAATGGCCTGTTTGTATCTTTACTAATTTCTTTTAATCAGCTTTATTGAGCTACATTTACATTTAAAAAATTAGGAATTTTATGGTATACATTTCTCCGAGTTTTGACAAATGTACACGCTATAGAACATTTCCATTACTCCTAAAAGTTTCCTTGTGCCCCTTTGTGGTCAATGTTGACCCTGAACCCTGGGCCCTGGCAACCTGTGAACTGCTTTCTATCACCATAGAGTTGCCTTTTCTAGAATTCATAAAATATCATCATACACTATGTTGTCTTTTATGTCTGGCTTCTTTCACTTAGCATAATACTGGGCTTTTCTTTACAGGAAAAATTTTAACTAAAATTTTAATTCAACTTCATTATTGATATTGAGCTATTCAGGTTATCTTCAGAGTTCTCTCTCTGTCTTAACTACCTCCTCTTGGATATCTTGCCCCCCCAAATCCTTGCAATCTTGGCCTCCATGAAGTCTGAACTCTGTTCTGAATTCAGCAAGATTACAGAGCTGTTTGGGTTTCTTTCCCTATTCTGTAGCCTGAAAACTCTAAGCAGTAAATAGAGGCAAATGTAAGACTTACCTCATTTGTTTCCCTTCTTTCAAGGATCATTGTCCTGTGCTATCTGTTGTCCAATGTCTGAAAACCATTGTTTCATGTATTTTATCCAAGTTTCTAGAGTTTAGGCAGGAGAGTAAATCTAGTCCCTGTTACTCCATCAGGACCAGGAGAAGTCCCTTTATTGATTTTTTTCTATGGATGTGTTCCTTACTCATTTGTAACAGTTCTGTCCTTTATACTTGTATTCTAAATTTTCCCTCAATTTTTTAATTTTCCTTTTAAATTTTGTGTATAGTGTTATTTAATATTTATTAATTTTTATGTAATCACATCTCTTGATTTTATCCTTTATGATCTTTATGTTTGTTTTATACTTAGGCAAAGTTTCTTTCCACCAGATACATATTTACCTATATTTTCTCAGAGTCCCATTGTGATTTCATTTTGCTTAAGAAATAAATTTTTAAATGGACTCTGGAGAAATAATTCTTTTTTGTTTTACTTTATGTTATTCAGCATATTCTCCCGGGGTGAATTATGATGTATGTGAAAACAATTGTGAAGTAATGTCTTCTCTAACTCAGAATGCTAATTTTTAAAAAACTTTCAGCTTTCTCATTTTACCATTTTACTGACTTGAATTTGAAAATCTGGTAATTAATCTGTAAGTTAAAATAGCAGTTTGTGTCCAGTGTTCTTTGGCTTCATTTTCTGAGGAGTGCACCGCTTAGTGTTAGCTCTGCAGAGCCTGCTTTTGTCCCAATTGTGTGTTCTTTCTCAGTTACTTTTTGAGTTAGTCTTCTCATCTCCCATTCTTTCATACTTTGGTTACCACTTGTCCCTCATTCCCCATTTACCTTTCTTCCCTTACTGTTCTTCTTTTTCTCCTCCTGTTTCTCCTGTTTGCCCCTTTTTCATCCTCCCTGCTTCCTATATGGGTAATATAGTTTATCACCCATAGGACAGGTAATATAGTTTATTGCTGTATCCCAGTGCCTATTTTAAGAATGTCTCACAAATATTAGACCCTCACTATATAAATTATATAATAAATAATAGAATTTCATGGATAATAAAAAAATCTCTTACTCAGGGTTTTCCTGGCACCTGTGACAGTTCAGTTTAATAAACATTACTGTGCACGTATTATATGCCAGACAGTGTGCCATGTTCTTGAATCACAAAGATGAGATTACGACATAGGCGCTGCCCTCAAGGAACTTATAGTATGGTGAGAGAGATGAACAATAAATAGATGATCTTAAATCTTTATGCTAATACATGGAAAAGGAACATTTTCAGCTCAATCCGGAAGTTCAGGGAATGCTTGCTGGAAGAGATGATGAATAATAAGATCTTGCAGGATAAATAAAAGTAGGAAGGGCAACAACAATATGAATATACTTAACCACACTACTGTACTCTTTTTTTTTTTAAATTTTATTGGGGAATTGGGGGAGGGGCACAGCATTGGGGAATTGGAGAAGGGGAACAGACAAGTTGCTTTCCTTTTGTTCTTCAGTCTAGTTGTGGAGGACATTGCTTCACTGGCCCATGTTGACATTATCATTATGGTCTTCCCGGGTGAGGCAGTCGCTCGCCAGCCGCTCAACGGTGGCTCATGGCAGCCCACTGTAGCCTATGCCGTTGCTGGTGACCCACGGCAGCCCAGCTCCAGGTTGAGCTGTTGTTCACCATCTTAGCTGTAGAGGGCCCAGCGTCACTGGCTCTCATATGTGGGATCCTAACTGGGGCCCTGCTGCTCAGAGCTGGCATCTCAAGCCAACGCCTAACCAATGCGCCACTTTGCTGGCCCCTAACTGTACTCTTAAAAATGATTAAGATGATAAATTTTATGTTATGCGTATTTTCCCAAAATAAAAAAGAGTAGGAAGGGCATTCCAAGTAGAGAGAATGGCATGATCAAATTGTCATGATTATTATGCTAAGCAAAATAAGTCAGACAGAAAAAGTCGAGAACCATATGATTTCACTGATGCGTGGTATATAAAGCTGAAAACAACAAAGGAACAGGACAAATGAAAAAACAAAAACTGATAGACACAGACAATAGTTTAATGGTTACCAGAGGGTGAGAGGGGAGAGGGTGGTAGATAACGGTAAAAAGGATAAAATATATGGTGATGGAAGGAGAACTGACTGGGTAGTGAACACACAATGTGATATACAGATGATGTATTACAGAATTGTACACCTGAAACCTATGTAACTTTACTAACAATTGTCATCCCAATAAACTTTAATTATAAAAAACAAAACAAAAAAGCAACAACAACAACAAAAAATTGACCCATAGGAAACTTTGATGATGTATACTCCTTTCTAATACCTGGTTAATTATTTCAAACTGCATATTTACTTTCATTTTTCTCTCTTCTCAGAATTGGGTATCAGAAATTAAAAAAGAAGAAAATAAAATACACTTCCATGAACCTGAAACGTTTCCAGCAATGGAAGAAAATCTGCCTCCAGTTCGTGGTTCAAACAGCTGTCTTCATGTTGCCACAGTAGGCCTTTTTGGTGTGGAGTGTGGGTGGTAAGGGAGGGAAGGTTGTTATTGTTTATTAAGAGAGCTGCCTCAGTATAATCAGTGTGGCTAACGTGTGATGTCCTTTAGAAAAGCTGGGGATTTTTTTCATCTTGTCATGTGCTGTTACGTTTTTGAGGAGGCTGTATTTCATCACTTGGAAATCAAAATCAAACAGCTTTTTCCTTTGAAAACTTGCATCTTGGGTTTACTGCCTTTCCTCATTTTTTTTTTTTTGTGCTGTTCTGTCTCTTCTATTCTGACCAATTTTGATGAGCACATAAGATCCAATTCAGTGTGTGAGAATTTCAGGGAATAATTTTATGTATCCAGTAGAGGCAGCGAGGAAATAGTTCATTCCATCATTAACTATGGATTTAAAGAATTAAACAGATACTTTCAAGCAGTTATATCGTAGATATCTTTCCTTTGTTCAGTGCATGTGTTTCCCCCCTTATCTCCAGCCCCTTTTGATTACTCCTCTGAAGGTGATCCCTATTTAGTCATTTAGACCTCTCCTTTTTAACCCATGGGTTCTATAGATAAGGGGCCTGTTGGGGTTCCAGGTTTATTTTACTTAATTTTATTTTAAGTTGAAACTGAGCTTCGTGGCATCCACCAGATCCTGATATTACAGAACTTAGCCCTTGTGACCTGGACACTGGGAGTTAGGGCTTTAACATGGATCACACACTCCACTCCCTCTGCCCTACTTTCGTCTTTGTTTAAATCGGGGATTTGGGGGAGAGGAACAGTGTTGGGGAATTGGGGAGGGGGACCAGCCAAGTTGTTCTTCAACCTTAGTTGTGGAGGGTGCCAATCGCCATCTGGTTGCCCGTTGGCAGCTCATGGCCTCGAAGCTCAAGGTGCTATGTTACAACCTTAGTTGTGTGTGGGCGTAGCCACCATCCCATGCGGGCGTCAAGCCAGCAGCCTTGTTGTTAAGAGCACATGTTTTATCCACTGAGCATCCGGGTAGCAGCTCGGCTCAAGGTGCCGAGTTCAGTCTTAGTTGCTGGCGGGCGTAGCCCACCATCGAACAGGTAGTCTTGTTGTTAGGAGCACGTGTTCTCACCAACTGAGCCATCCTGACACCTGTTGGCAGCTCAGCTTGGGTGCAGTGTCACTGGCCCATGTGGGAATCGAACCGGCAGCCCTGTTGCTCAGAGCTCGCCCTCTTAATCCAACTTTTAACCAACTGAACCACTCGGCCATCCCCCCTCTGCCCTACTTTGTAAAAGTTTTTTTTATTGTTATCATTTCAGAAAGGATGGCTACCTTAATCTCTTCATTTTGGGTTAACTCATTCTTGTTATTCTCATCTCCTCCTTGAATCCTTAATTTTATTTAAAAAAACATCCATAGCCCTTCACCACTCTACCCTCTGATAATTTACCTTCTGGGATCTTTTCACTCCCCATTAGGAATTACTCAGGTAACTGAGGTGCACAGTAATATGGTAAGGATGCCACTGTCTGTAATCAATGAATTTACAGTCATGGAACACCCATTATGTGCTAAGCCTGTGCCCGGAAAATATAACAATGAATAAGACTTAGTCTCTGCCCTCAAGGGGCTTATAGTCCAGTGGGGTAGACAGACTCGTGGTGTCATGGTTCTCACAGCATGGTCTGTGGACCCTGATCATTCCAGAGATCCTCCCAGGAGGTCCAGAAAGTCAATGCTATTTTGAAATATAATGCTACTGCCTTGTCCTTTTCACTGTGGGAAGCATGCAGAAAGCACTGTGAAGCGAAATACGATTATCTCAAGAAAAGCACTTGTATGATTAAGTTGCTAGCTTAGGTAGCCACTTTTTCCTGGAATAATTTTTATTTGGAAGAGTGACTGACAGACTGGCTATTGAGGCATGGGTTTTTGGCAGACACTATTAAAAATGAATGAAGTGGGCTTCTTGCTTCAGGGAAAATCACTGACAGTGTTTTTTGCCAGTGATAAAACCTGAGCTTTCAAGTGCAATTGAGCATATTTCATATTCTTATGTGGCTCTTGAATATCTGCTTGTGACAAAATAATTTCGCCTTACAGGGCATAGTTAAAGATTTTTCTGATGAATTCCATGAAGATAGTAACAAATATGATATGTTAATTGTATAATGAATGTATGAATATTTTGGAAGCTCTGCATAACTACTGATGACCCATGCACAATGTTACAAAACTGTGCATGGGTAATTGACCCATTTAAAATAGCTTCAGGTTATGGCTAATCTTTAAGAAACTATTTGTGAGCATAATGGCTGTCGTTTCCCTTCCATTCCCTTCTGGTGCTTGCAATTGGCATGTGACCTAGGATGGGCCACTTAATAGCACCAAGCTATTGCTTGGTCAGGAATGGGCACATGACCCAAACTAGCCAATCACAGTCCTTCCCTGGGATTTCTCTAACTACAGACAGAGAGAAGAGTCACTCTCTTTTTCCTTTCTGATTGGAAGGCCTGTGAGGTTTTAATCCCAGACTGTTTGTGGCCATGCTTGCTACTACATGGAAAGAACAAGTAGCTAGCAGGGAAGATGAAATCAGCAGGCAGAGAAAAGCAGAGACTAGGGACAGGGGGAGAGAGGGAAAGAGAGACCATATGATTCCTTTATCCACCAAAATCCTGCCCTTTCATCAGTTTGATTACATAAGCTAATATGTATTTATTCTTTTTAAATAGAATTAGTCCAAGCTGGTTGTCTGTCATTGCAAACAAACAAGTTTTGACTAATAACAGCAAAGTAGTTATTCTTCTCCAATGCCTAGGCTTTAAAAGAATGAATGAAAATTTAGTACTTTTCAAATAAGAAAGTCACTAATAATCACATTTCACACGAGTTTTTAAATTTTATGTATGTACTTAAAGTTCTGTAGATTGCTCCGAAAATTAACTACAAATTTAAAATCCTTTTTAAGCCTACTAATATAATACTATTTAAGCCTACTGATATAATACTGTTATGTTAATAACTTCCAGGGTACCTATTTTTCTTTCTATTCAATTTGTATATCTTAATCCAGTACTTCACATTCTGTTTATAGTAAAGCCTGCTAATCTTTTTTTTCCTCTCCTTCCTCCATCTTTCCCTTCCCCCACCTCCGAGCTATTGTTCTCAGTCTAGTTGTGGAGGACGCTGCTCACTGGCCCATGTTGGTATTAGGATCATTGTGCTCTTCCAGGCTGAGGCAATCAGTCTGGCCACTCACACTGGCTGCCGGCCACTCATGCGGCAGCCCAGCTCCAGGTCTAACTGTTGTTCATAATCTTAGCTATAGAGGGCACAGCTCACTGGCTCATGTGGGAATCCAACCAGCAGCCCCATTGTTCAGAGCTTGCGCTCTAGCCAACTGAGTTATCTGGCCGCCCCAAAAGCCTGCTAATCGTATATTACATATGTCTCATAAATATGATTTTATTCTTTCAGGAAAAATGTTCTAAAAGTAGACCAGCTAAAAAGAAAATTCCAAGGGATTATGCAGAGTGGGATAAGTATGTTTTATATTTCTTTATATAAAATTTTTCACTAAAAAATTCTCTACCATAAAATACTGCAATAATTTCTTAATTATTATAAACCTGAACATATCAAGAATACCAAGGTACTTCAATTAGAGTGCTAAGAATATATGGTCTAAACACCCTTGATCTTGTTTTTTCATTAAATAAAAATCTTATGTATCCCTTTGTTTCTAAGAGCAACCAAAAATAACTAATGCATTCCTTATACTCATCCAAATAAAAAAGAACAAAAATTTTAAATTGAGAGAAATTTATCGCATTTTAATCACAAAGTTCTAAACATTATAAGTCTGATTAATATTTAAGTTCTCACTAAATTGCATGGTTTGTAAGACAGAATCAGATGACTTTTGATGCAAACCTGTTATGAATTTTTGGAATATGTGTTTAAAGGCACAGTAATACAAATACAAGAATAATAAGAAATTTTATTTTCTTGCTTATATTGTACTTTTTTCAGTTTCTGTTATTCTTTTTTAGATTTGATGTGGAAAAGGAATGTTCAAAAATTGATGAAGGTTACAAAGAAAAAACGGCAGTAAACAACAAGTCACATTTGTCCAAAATTGAGACAAGAATAGACACAGCAGGTAATTGGGGGAAAATAATAATAATTTAGTAGCCTTTAAATTGTTTTAATTATAATAAAAGCTATCAAACTAGACGACATTCTCTTTAAGTGCTGCAGATTTCCCTGAAAAGTTTATGATTTTCTCCTCAAGTTGACCACTTTCAACAAATTCAGATCTATCCTTCAACTACTTAATTTTATATGAGTAATAATTATACTGCTTAATTTAGTAAACCTTAAAAATATAAACATTTTTTTACTGTAATTCGTTTCTTTTTCATTCCGTTTTTTAAAAATCCTTTTTCCCCTTCAAATCCCTCAAATTTTTTTCTTTTTGCCTAAAACAAAAAAGATGGAACAGTTTGTTTTCATTTGAAGTCCATAAGTATATAGCACCTTTAAAGAGAAAACCAATCATAAAAAAACCAAAACCCGCAAAAATTGTGAATGGTTAAAAAAAAGAAAAGGATCATTCTTAAACTTAGGAAACCTTATATTTTCTTGTATTTATTTTATAAATTTATGCTTTTGTTAAAATAAGCATTCTTGGATTTAAATTTTTTAAAAATTGTATTAAGTTATATTTTAATTTATAGCAGATAAACATTTATTTCTAGGTCTAACTGAGAAGGAAAAGGATTTTCTTGCTACTCGTGAAAAGGAAAAAGGAAATGAAGCTTTCAACTCAGGAGATTATGAGGAGGCTGTGAAATATTATACAAGGTGAGCATATTTTTAAATTGTGGTTTAAACTTTGCCATTTAAAAAACCGACAGTGTTTAAATTTAACTGTTGAAGTGATATAAATGAGCTAAATAATTTATGTCAGAATCACTCAAGATTGTATTTGTGGTTTATCATAAATTCGCTTGTGTTTGCCTTGTTTTTACAATACTTTTCTCAAAGTTTCCACCCATCCCCACTTTTGACGGAGGTCTTAACTTTCCTATTTTATAGAGAAAATATAAGCCAGCTAAAAGGAACTTGAAAGAAAGTCCAAATAGCGTAAGAGTCAGGCTGCCTGGATCTAATCTTACTGTTTATGGTGCTACCTCTCACCACAGGGCCTTTACATATGCTGGATTCTCTAATACTTCTCCCTCCTCTCATTATCTAGCTAATTCTAATTTATTCTTCAGATCTCAGCTCATGCCTCACTTCTTTGGTGAAGTCTTCCCTGACCTCCCAGATGAGGTTCAATCTTCATTCTAATCCATCCCCCACCATTGATGCCCCTCCCCCCAATTTATAGGCTCTTAGAGCAACCTTACCTCTCTTTTGTAGCACTTGTTGGAGGTACAATTTAAGTTTGTGTGATTTGATACTAACTGCACTGTAAGCTCTGTAAGAGCAGGCCTACTTATCAGTTTTTTTTTATACCATTGTGTTCCCAACAAAGTACCTGGTGCATAGTAGATGTTCAATAAATACTTGAATGAACTTTTGAAGCTCTTAAGTCTATGAAAAGTAGACCAAGTTTCTAAAATATTGTTACATACTGTGGTTATAGAACCACTAATGCTACCTTAGAATTAAACTCTGTACAACCTTCCTTCGACTTTTGCAAAGAAGATTTTTTTTTCAATGTTATTTGTGTCTCTAGAGAGTTTTTCTGACAGTTTAAGTGAACATACAAGGTAAAGAGGATTTGATGTAGCACTTATTCAGTACAGCCTCCCCTGTTCAGCCAGGTGGATGTCATTCTGACATTGTTCTTTCTCTTCTTGCAGATTTCCACCAGTGGAGAATGTCTTGTGTATTACAGGGAATCAAATTTTTCTTGTCTTATTCTTTTGTGAAATCTCGGTGTTGAAGGATTAAAGCAGCATAGCATGATGCTTAAGGGAACTGAGACTGAGCCCTTCTGACCTTGGACAGATTCTTTATCTCTCAGTTTTCTCAATGTGATGGGTTTTAATAGTGCCTGCCTCAGAGCAGTTGTTAGAATTAAATAAAACTGCACGCTGAACGTCAGGATAACATGGTGGTAAAGAGAGCAGGTCCTGGAGTAGACTATTTGGGTTTGAATCCTGACCCTTCCCTTTACTAATATATGGCCCTGGGCACGTTACTTAAACTTTTAGTGCATCCATTTTCTCATCTGTAAAGTGGGAAGAGTAGTGATACCTCATTTCTGGGTTGTAACGAGCATTAAATAAGTTTAGTGTTTAGTGTCTGGCATGTGGAAAATACTCATTATTACTGGTACTCTTATTATTTATTCTTACATGTATTTTCCATATCTGATCTTCACCCAACCATGTAACTTCTTTATATTCATCTTTGATGATCTTAGTAAAGTGACACTTTTTGTGGCTTTCCATTTTCATCTTCTATTCCTCTTCTGGGTTTAGAAAATTTAGTGCATGGATACCCTTATCTTTCCTATATCTAGGTTTATGTTATTTCACAACATTCCAAATCAACTTTTTAAGCAAGAGTCAGGTAGGTTTTAAATTATTCTTTCTATTATTTTGCACTCATACCCTTAATCTAGCAAAATTTGCTCTCTGAAAGTCTGTGTTCCTCATTCTACTGACTACCCTTCAATTAAATGCATTTGATTAAATTATGATAATTTCATTAGAGTTTAATCTACTTTTGATTACAAACTAATTTGTGTCTGTTAACACAATAACAACTTGATAAAGGATAATAGTTGTGGTTGCTTGTTCCATTTTTTGTACCAGGAGATTGTCCCCACTATGTAAAAAAAAAATTTTTGATACATAATGTTAACTAAACTGGTTTTATAGGAGATCTATATAGGTAGTTACATTCCTATGTCAGCACTAAAGCTTGAGTCAACTTGAACACTCTTACTTAACTGGATATTTAAGCATGTGTCTAAATGTTGATTTAGTATGTTTGTAGATTGTATTTTATTATTTTTGATGATGCAGCCTATATTAGTTTGCTACGGCTGCCATAATCAAGTGCCACAGGCTGGATGGCTTAAACAACAGAACTTTATTTGCTTACAATTCTGGAGGCTAGAAGTCTGAGGTCAAGGTGTCGGCAGGGCTGGTTTCTTTTGAGGCCTCTCTTCTTTAATTATAAATGGTTGTCTTCTCTTGGGCCTTCAAGTGGTCTTTCATCTGTGTGTGTCTGTATTCTAGTCTCATCTTCTTATAAAGACACCAGTTAGTTATATTGGATTGGTGTCCACCTTCATGACCTCATTTTAACTTCATCACATCTTTAAAGACTACCTCCAAATATAGTTACATTCTGAGGTACTGGGGGTTAGGTCATCAACATATGAATTGGGGAGGGGAGGGTGGGTACAGTTCTGCCCATAATACAGGCAATAACTGTTTTATTTATAGCTTTAGCTGAGTTTCTTTATCTTCTTATATTTACCAGTGGTCTGCTTGTTGCCAATGAGTGTCTCTTTTATAGGAGTCTGTCAGTGCTTCCCACCATAGCGGCCTATAATAATCGAGCTCAAGCAGAACTCAAACTACAGAACTGGGACAGTGCTTTTCAGGATTGTGAAAAGGTCTTGGAGTTAGAACCTGGAAACTTAAAGGGTAAAAAATATTCATAAAATGCTTTTAAATTTACAGTAGGATCCATTAAAGACTGTAGACACTCATTGTGTTGACACTAAAACATTTCAAATAAACTCAAATTTCTATATGTGAATCATTACCTTCATAAAATTACTTTTAATTTCAAGTTTAACTTGGAATTTAAATCCCTGATTATTGATACACTGAAGTAGCCAATCTCAGAAGATTGAATAAAATATATATGTGTTTTTAAAGAAATACCTCAAGGTTGCGTTAATCTGAAGATATTTTTCTTTCAATTTTTTAATTTTGTACAATACATATAACATAAAATTTACTACCTTTATTATTTTTAAGTGTACAGTTCAGTGGTATTAAGTATATTCATCTGTTGTGCAGTCATCGCTACCATCCATCTCTAGAGCTTTTTTCACCATACAAAACTGAACCTCTATACCTAATAAATAACTCTCTATTCTTCCCTCCCCCCCAGCCTCTGGCAACCACCATTCTGCTTTCTGTCTCTATGATTTTACTATACTAGGTACTTCATGTAAGTGGAATCATATAATATTTATCTTTTTGTAACTGGCTTATTGAACTGTGTCTTTTTATCCACAAATATTTAAGTATAATTTAATATAGATTTTCTGATATTTAATAATACAATAAAATAATAAGCCCACACCAAAGCTCTAGAACCTTCTACTAGTGGCTCTGTGGACATTTCCACTTAAATGTCCATAGACTTTTTTTTCTTTTTAAAAAAAATATTTTATTGGGGAACTGGGGAATGGAAACAGACAAGTTGCTGTCTTTTTTGTTGTTCAGACCAGTTGTGGAGGACGTCGCTTCACTGGCCCATGTTGGTATTATCATTGCGCTCTTCCCCGGTGAGGCAGTCGCTTGCTGGCCATTGGATGACCGCTTACGGCGGCTCAAGACAGCTCATGCCGGCTGCTGGCCGGTAGCTCATGGCAGACCACTACAGCAGGGGCTGCAGCCTAGCCGTTGCCGGCGACTCATGGCAGCCCAGCTCCAGCTCGAGCTGTTGTTCACCATCTTAGCTGTAGAGGGCACAGCATCAGTGGCCCTCATGTGGGATCTGAACTGGGGCCCTGCTGCTCAGAGCTGGTGTCCCAAGCCAACTCCTAACCAACGCACCACTCGGTTGGCCCCTCCATAGACATTTTAAATTAAACATGTCCAAAACCGACTATATCTTTCTACCAAAACCTGTACTCTGTCCCTATTTTCTGTATCAGTGACTGCAGTATCTTGCTGTGTCCAAGGCTGACGTATGCAAGTCAGACTCCACTTTCCTTTTCTATTATCAAGAAGGAATCATTCCAAGAGAGAACAGCATACATTTTAGTATACTCATTCTATTTCTTTAAACATTTTGGATCCAGACAAATATAAACACTGATTTTTTTTCCCCATAGAATGTACCGTTTTGTGGCTACAAACATGGGTGGGTAGAAACCATGGGTGTGCTGAGGGGGAGGACAGTCCCAACTGTCATTGTCATGGCTTGCCCTCCTTTCACTGGTAAAGTCGTCTTTTGTCTGTATTTTTTCTCCGCCAGAGTACGGGTGGTCACCTAGCCTTAGGCAGGTGCCTGGTAAAGGTTTTAGAATTTTCTGATGGGCCCACACCACCACTGCACCAGACTCTGTACCAAGTGCTTTCCATATATTAACTCCATTAACTTTCATAACAGTTCAGTAGAGGTGCAGATAATATTATTAGTACACTCGTTTTATAAAAGAGGAAGCTGAGGCATAAAAAGATTAAGTGACTCACCCAAGATCACACAGCTAGCAAATGGCAGAGCCAGGACACTGAACAACAGATTCTAGAGCCTCCATTCAACCACTGTGCTACTCTTCTGCCACTAGAATGGCCTTATGTTTTCATTCTTTCTTTTCTGAGTAATGTCTTAAGCACCAGCATCTTCAGTATTTAAAAAACTAATTTGACAGAGTCAAATCTAGTAATAAGTATGGCCATAAAATATTGGGTTGTCGGAAAAGTCATGACGCATTTTTGCAACGAAAAACATAGAAAAAAATACATCATGACTTTTCCGACAACCCAATATTAAGAAGTCTTATGTTTGTTTAAATGAATAAGTAACTTCCTCTTCAAAACTTAATTTTTTTACTCAAAAGATAATTGTTCTAAATGCAATGTGGTATTTAGATCCTATCCTGCGACAGAAAAAGGGCATTAGTGAAAAAATTGGTGAAATCCAAATAAAGCCTATAGTTTAGTTAATAGTATTGTATCAATGTTATTTCTTAGTTTTGGTAAATATATTATAGTTATGTAAGATGTTAGCATTAGGAAAAGATGGGTGAAGGCATATGAGAACTCTCTATATTATCTTTGCAGCTTTTCTGTAAATCTAAAATTATTTCCAAAATAAGTTTAACAAATGATAATTATTATATCATTAATATTTCTTTATGAATATTTCCTTCTGAAACCTGAGTAGTAATAGTAATAGCTAAACTTGGTACTTAAAGTACAGTGTTAGAATTGTGGTTAAATTTATGACAAAATGATTTATTCTCTAGATTGTGATGGTTAATTTTAAAACTAATATCAAATTGGTCAAATTTATATTTTAAAATAGCATATTAAAATATATTCAAATATGGGCCGGCCAAGTGATGCGATGGTTAAGAACTGGCTTGGGACGCCAGAGGGCCCCGGTTCGGATCCCACATATGAGGGCCAGTGACACTGCCCTCCACAGCTAAGATGCTGAACAACAGCTCAACCTGGAGCTGGGCTGCTGTGAGTCGCCTGCGATGGCGTAGGCTGCAGCCCCTGTGGCAGTGGGTTGCCATGGGCTACTGTATGTAGCCAGCAGCCAGCGTGAGCGGCTAGCAGCTGCAGTGAGCAGCTGTCCAGAAGCCGGCGACTGATCTGCCTCATCTGGGAAGAGCGCAATGATGGTGCCAACTTGGGCCAGTGGAGCAACGTCCTCCACAACTAGACTGAAGAACAAAAAAACGACGGCAACTTGTCTGTTCCCCTTCCCCCAATTCCCCAGCACTGTTCCCATCTCCCAATTCCCCACTAAAAATCTTTAAAAAAAAAAAAAAAGATAAGCTGAGGCATATTAAAATTAAAAAAATAAATAAATAAAATAAAAAAATATATTCAAATATAAATTTCTTTCTTTTCAGAATTACCAATCCTGATTGTTTTAGAATGATGATTTAATTACACACAGTTTTCTCATTATATAATGCATAATGATGGGACTAAAAAGACATTCATTTTCAATATGAAATAATTATTAAATTATACATTGAAACCTATAAAAAAATCTGATGCAAATTACCAAAGTACTAAATTTCTGAACCTAGCTGATTTAATCAGAATTCTCTCATTAAATACCTGTGTGAAATACATGCTTCTAATCATTTTAGAGATTGTTACATTCACTAATGGCCCATATTCTAAGCCAGATCCTGGTCAATAATATACTAAATTTGAATATAGGATCTTCAAAGTTTTCATAAAGTGGTGAAATGATAACTAGTGATGATTGTAAGGAAGAAAACACTTCTGTTTAGTGAAAAACTTCCCAATACTGCAGCCCAGCACGGTGCCTCTGAAGGGTGGAGGCATGCAGTCTCTTAGTCCTTGGAGAAGCTGGCAGGGCCTGGGGCTGCCAGAGGGCCAGGTTGTTCGAGGGGACAGTTGCCTGATGCAGCCTTTTCTGTTTACATCATTTTCTATATGTGCAACAATATGAAAAAAAGCTTTGCACAATTGTGTCCTAAACTCTGTTCTGTGCTACTTATATTCTCCCACTTGAGAAATGTGTTATGACCATAATACCATATGTTAAAAAATGTAACTTTTATTTTGGCAAATTTACAGCCCTTCTACGCCGTGCCACTACATATAAACATCAAAACAAGCTACAGGAAGCTATAGAAGATTTGAGTAAAGTACTGGATATTGAACCTGATAATGAGTTGGCCAAAGTAAGTACAGAAAGTGATTCCTTACCAAATTCTGTAGTTTGCTATTTCTGTATTTGTGTTAAAATGATATTAATCCTGCTACATAGATAATATTGAGGATTAGGTCAGTCACAGCTTTAAAAAGTAGGTATATCCCAGACACCCCCAAATTTTCACATCTGTTTGAGGTGGAAAAAAGCAAGCTCTTAAATTGTCCAAAAACTGTAAACCTGCTTCTGAAGGACAAATACTTAATTTTTCTCTCTCCTGCAGTGTTGTAGGCAATGCTTTTCTTTAAGCTAAGCTCAATTTATTATACAGAGTAGTATAGATGCTTACTAGGTAGGATTAGGCATCAGCTTGATGGCCATAAAAAAGTGTTTCTCTTTGTAACTTGGCATGTAAGCGTCACATCATTGACAGCAGACTGACTCAGGTATGCACTTACGGAGATCTATGTAAGGCCTAAGGAGTAGAGATAAGTGTTGAGAACTGTGAGGTTCTGAGATTTTACCCTACTTGCAAATTAATAAGAATATACAAGACTAGGAGAATGCACACGACTCCTGGGTCAGACTCACAGCATGGCAGGCCGATGAGCTTCAAGTTCATGTCAGCTTCCCTGGTCCCCAAGTCTCATGGGGGTGGTGCAGAACAGCCCAAACAGCCCAGGTCGATGCTGCACACTCAGATGAGTACTCCTAAATTTATGAAATCTCATCTTTTTTTTTTTTTTGAAGTCTCAGAGCCTTCACAGTTCTTTTTTTTTTTTTTTTAGCTTTATTGGGGAACAGTGTGTTTTTCCCAGGACCCATCAGCTCCAAGTCTAGTCGTTTTCTTTTCAATCTAGTTGCAGGGGGCGCAGCCCACTATCCCATGCGGGAGTCAAACCGGCAACCTTGTTGTTAAGAGTACGTGCTCTAACCAGCTGAGCCATCCAGCCGCCCCTTGCCCACCGGCAGCTCAGTGGCAGCTCAGCTTAAGTTGTTGTCTTCAATCTAGTTGCAGAGGGCACAGCTCACTGGCCCATGTGGGAATTGAACCGGCAACCCTGTTGCTCAGAGCTCATGCTCTTAACCAACTGAGCTACCTGGCCGCCCCATGAAACCCCATCTTTTATAGTGGGATACAAGCAAACCTGCCCAACCAATATAAGAGGGAAACATTATTTTATCAGAGAGCAAACAAACCTGGTCTCCTTTGAAGGGCAATACTCTATTTCCCACAGCTGTTCTCAGTACAAACATCTTTAAAAACATAGTCTAAATAGAACAAAGGTTGTTTAATTTCTGTGCCTACAGTATATTCAGAAATGTGAGAAACGCATTGAGAACTGTCTTCTATTGATAAGTTGTCATTATTTCCAGGTAAACATATTGGATTATTTGTCTCACTCTCTGAGTGGCAGCTAACGTCCCTAGTCCCTAATGTACCAACTGCATTTGTGACGTCAGCATTTCAGTGGATTAGATTTAGGGCCCAGCTCAGGAACACATCTTTTTTTCATGGTATTCCCTTTTTATAATGATGTGTGTGCGTGTGTGTGTGTGTGCGCGCGCGCGTGTGTGTGTGTGTGTGTGTGTGTGTGTGTGTACAAACATATCTGGAAAGATGATTATCAGAATATCAATAGTGTTATTTGAGTGGCAGGATTTCAGTAATTCTTTCTTTTCTTTTTTATACTTGTTGTGCTTTGAGTTTTTTACAAAGGAAGCTATGGTTATAATCAGAAAAAGCAATGAAGTTTTTTGAAAAAGGAAAAAAAAACAGATCACCATAAAAAGCCTTATCTTAGTTATCTTTATTCACTTTTTAATAGCTTCATATTCTTACCTGAAAGAATATTATATTTTTTTATTAAAGGAAAACATTTTTTTAAATATGGTGATTATGTTGCAGAAAACTTTGTCAGAAGTTGAAAGAGATCTGAAAAATTCTGAACCTGCATCTGAGCCTCAGACTAAGGGAAAAAGGATGGTCATTGAGGAAGTAGAAAACTCGGAAGCTGAAGATGGAAAGGACAGTGGGAAAAAGCATGAAGATGGCAGTGGAGATAAAAGTAAAACATTTTTCTTTTTTGGTTATGCAAAAAATTACCTTTTTTATATGATGAGCTGGATCAAATTTTCTGTTTGTACAGAACTTCTTAGTCTATCAAACTTTCTAGCTTTACCTTGTAAACCCACAATTAAGTTTTCCCTTAATCTTTTTTCTTAGTATAGCATATCTTTTTCTTTTTCCTTTTTCTATTGAGGTATAATTGACATATACCATTATATTAGTTTTAGGTATATAACATAATGATTTCATATTTGAATATATTGTGAAATGATCTTCACAATGTGTCTTGTTAACACAGCTCATCGTTTTCTTAATACAATCTCCCGAACCCATTTTTCTTTTTAACCCGACACTTTTCTAGTGCTCAATTTAATTCTAGATCATCATCTTTAAAGGCAAATGTCTGTGTCTTTGTGAGAACCACCATTTGTAAGTTAACCCTAAATCTCTCTCTTAGATGATTGTTTTGTATATAGCTATTGTTACAAACAAATGTGTTGGTTTCAAAGGGGTATATGCCTAAAATGAATGGATTGTTGGAAAATTGCTATGCCTGCCTCTCAAAAAAAATTATAATATGCAGTTTCGCTTTTGATAATTTAAGAAAAGAATCCAGACTCGATAAAGCTTTAATCTTTATTGTATAAAACAATGAAAGTTAGTTACATCAGCTTTAAGTAGAAAGATCTGCCTATCGTTTGACGAGGTGGGGAAAAATTTTTCACCCTTCTTGAAAGCGCCTGAGCATCCAAGGGGAAGTACCAATTTTGAAAATCATTCACGGGTAAAAATCAACTTTAAGTAATTTGACAGAATATTTTAATTTTGAGAGAGAAATTTAAATGTTCAATTCATTCAACTTAAAGAAACAAAGAACAAGAAGTGTAAGTTTTTATTTTTTCATTGACAAGATATATAATGTAAAATATATATCTCAGGTTGATATATGATCCGTTAACCTAGAATAAAGACAAAGAAACAGAAAAGAAGGGCGTTAGAGAGAAGAGGACACAGAATAAAAGCACAAGAGAGAGACAGGAAAGGAAGGCAGAGCATTCAAGGGATAAAAAAAGGGAGAAATTAAGGTAAAGAGGTTCAACGATTGAGACTCACCTTCCAGTCAGATTTTAAGTAAGTTCTAGCAGCAAATATTCTTAGGGTTTATATTTAGCTTAAGATAATTTTAGCAAAGTGTCTAACAATTGAAGGAAATCATTTAAAATCTTATATGGAAAAAGATATATAGTATAAACTATTTCAATTACTACTATTTTAACATTATTTTAAATTTTTATGTATAGTGAAATGGACTTTTTGGTATATGTTAACAGTTTCAACATGTGTATAATTTCATGTAACTACCACCACAGTCAGGATACAGAACAATTCCATCATGCCAAAAACCTCCTTTTTACTCTACTTTTAGCTAACCCTTCCCTCACACCAACCCTCAGTAACCACTGATCTGTTCTCTGTTCCTATAGTTTGATCTTTTCCAGAGCATCATATACTGTAAATAGAATCAGAGAGTATGTAACCTTTTGGGACTAGCTTTCTTCACTTGGTATAATGTCACTGAGATACATTCATATATTGGGTTGTCGGAAAAGTCATGATGTATTTTTTTCTGTTTTTCGTTGCAAAAATGCATCATGACTTTTCTGACAACCCAATAGTTGTATGTATCTTTAGTTAATTCCTTTTTAATGCTGTAGTAATCCATTATATGGATATACTGCAGTTTGTTTATCCCTTCTCTTGTTCAAGGAAATTTGGGTTGTTTCCAGTATTTGGTATTTATGAATAGAGTTGCTAATATTAATATTCACATGTAGGTTTTTGGGCAAGCAATATTTTCATTTCCCTAAGGTAAATATCTAAGAACGAGAATGCTGAGTCATATGGCAAGTGTATGTTTAACTTCGTAAAACATTTTCAAACCGTTTTTCCAGATGGCTGTACCATTTTGCCTTCGCATAGCAACATATGAGAGTTCTAGTTGCTTCTCATTCTTGCCAGCATTTGGTATGGTCAGTATTATTTTTAAAAACATTTTTTTTAGCCATTTTGTTAGGTGTATAGTGGCCTCTCATTGTGGTTTTATTTTGCATTTTACTAATGGCTAATGTTGTTGAACATTTTTTCATGCGCTTACTTGCCATCTTGTATGTCATCTTTGGTGAAGATTATACCACAAATTTTTTTTCATTGGGTTGTTTTCTTACTGTTGAGTTTTGAGTGTTTTTTTCATATTTTTCTTACAAGTCCTCTGTTAGATATGAGCTCTGCAAATATTTTCCTTGTTTGTAGCTTGTTTTTTTTACTCTTTTAACATTGTCTTTCACAGAAAAAAGACCTTCAATTTGGGTAGAGTCCAAATGGTAATGGACTGTGCTTTTGGTGTTATAGCTAAGATGCTTTGCCTAACCCAAAATCAGGAGCATTTTCTCCTATGTTTTCTTTTAAATATTTCATAGTTTTAGGTTTTATACTTATATATTCATTCTGAGTTAAATTTTTAATTGAGATATAATTGACTTGTTATATTAGTTTGAGATGTACAACATGATTTGATATTTTATATAACCTTGTTGTAATCATTTTGCAATATATATGAGTATCAAACCATCATATTGTACACCTTAAATTTACACAATGTTATATGTCAGTTATATCTCAATAAAGCTGGGGGAGGGCCGGCAGAGTGGCTCAGTTGGTTAAGAGTTAGCTTAAGAGCCCAAGCTCTGAGCAACAGGGCCGCTGGTTCGAGTCCCACATGGGCCAGTGATGCTGAGCCCTAGCTGAGCTGTTGCTGAGCTGCCAACAGGTGGCAGGATGGCTCAGCTGGTGTAACAACAAGATTGCCTGTTCAATGGTGGGCTATGCCCACCCTGAACTAAGACTGAACTCGGCACCCTGAGCTGAGCTGCCAACCAGATGGTTCAGTGGATAGAGTGTGCACTCTTAACAACAAGGCTGCCAGGGTTTGACTCCCGCATGGGATGGTGGCTATGCCCACCCACAACTAATATTGAACACAGCACCTTGAGTCTAGAGGCCACGAGCTACCGACGGACAGCCAGATGGCGACTGGCGCCCTCCACAACCAAGACTGAAGAACAACAACTTGGCTGGTCCCCTCCCCCAATTCCCCAACACTGTCCTCCTCCCCCAATTCCCCAATAAAATCTTAAAAAAAAAAAAAAAGCTGGGGAAGAAAAAGGATGTTAAAAGGCCCTCCTCACAAATAGAAATAAACAGGGAAGGGCTAATTATTAAAAAAAACAAAACAGTAGTACTACTTCTGTGATTAGAAATCTGAGTTGGGATTGTTGTAGAGTCAGGGTTGTTGTAGTGTAATATCATTTAACAGATTGATAAGATATTTCTCCCTAAGATGAGCCCCATAGAGAAGCAATAGTCCCCTTCAGATCTCCAAGCAGCCAGAGCTTTAAGAGAACCGTTTCTGATTCTGTCATTCATGCCCTCATAGTTATTTTTTAGATTAAGTAATATATAAAAATATGTAAGATTCAGAAAACAAAAATGTCTTGATAGGAAGAATATAAATTTTAAGTCCAGTTAGTTTCCTTCTATAAGGAAAGCAAATCAAACTTAGGTGGAATAAATAGTAGGAAGCCCAGACGTAGTCCTTTTAAGATGAAATGAAATCATCGGAACTATCTTACACCCGTATGCTCACTTCTACCAAGTTCCATTGTTAGATGACGTGTAAAAAGAGGTCCTGGAGCCTTGGACAAGACAGGAGAAATCCAAGTCGCTCTTAAGAAAATAATGTTCATGCCAAGAGGGAGATTATCAAGTTGGAGTCTTTGCATGTGATTTCCCATCCCACCACGTTCCAAGAAAGAATTTTTAGTCATTATGGGGTAGAGATGCAGAAAGCCCCGAAGACCGTGGAAAAATATAGCAATTAGTATTCTGTAACCTTGGTTGATAATGCTGTTCCCCTGGGAGATCCACCTGGGTTGGCCAGGCCCAGTTCATCCAGACTGAGGTATAGCATAACCAATGGGTTGAACTTAACAGCTGACAATTATTGTGTACCTACTCTGTGTCAGATACAAGACAGTCGATAGGCTTTCTTCACTTAGCCTTCTAAGGACTACTATGAAGAAATACCTGCCTGTTTGCCAGGCTGATCAGATCTGGGGATTTGAATTGGTGGGCTTCCTTGGGAACTGCCCATCTATGTGTGTTTTCCTTCCCTCATACAGAACATTTAGAAGTGGCCATCATCATACAACTGTAGCTGATAGAATACCACAGACTTTGATATTCTATCTCCTTACGGAGCCTGGGAGAAGTGAGGAAATCAGAGGAAAGTGAGCATCTAACCTCTCTCGTGCTGTTGCACATTTCTCACTTAAAAGTGGAATATAAGAAAATAAAGAAAATGAAACAGTTACTAACAGAAGAATAAAATATAGATAAATGTTTCTCTTGACCTAAAATTGGTAGATCAGGAGGGTAGAGGATGGGGATTTCGAAGAAATAAAACAGTAGACAAAATCATGGACAGGTATGCACCTTTCTGATGATTTTGATTATGTAAAAATGAAAAACCTGTGCAAGTCAGGTGCCATAAAACAAAATAAAAGACAAATGACAAATTAGGAAAAATGGCAAGGGGTTGGTAACCTTGTAACATGGAGAGCTTTTTAACAATTAGACAAAGTTAAAGATCCCAGTACCAAAATGAACAAAGCATATGAACAGATATATCACTAATAAAGAAATTAAATGATCAATAAATTTTATTGATAATAAAAAATGAAAATTAAATATAGGTTCTTTTTTTTCTCCCATTAATTTGTCCAAGATGGAAAGAAAAGAGTATCTTTTGTTGTCAAGGGTAATGTAAAATAAGCACTTTTTTTTTTTTTAAGATTTTTATTGGGGAATTGGGGGGGCAGGAACAGCGCTGGGGAATTGGGGGGAGGGGAACAGACAAGTTGCTGTCGTTTTTGTTCTTCA